TGAAAGAATTCAGACGCTTGCCTGTCAGCGTGATCTCAAAGGCATCGATTCTTCTGAATCAAGATCAAATTCACGCATCGTTAGGGCACCTTTGGTGAAAAATTCGTCTGATATAATAAAACCACGTTCTAAACATAGTTATTTCTACTGTCCCAATGAAACTCAAGCACTTTACTGCTGTCCTCGTTTTAAAAAGTTAACTATTGATGAAAAAATAGATCTGGTAAAAAGACAAGAGTGGTGTTTCAATTGTTTATCTAAAGGTCACTCGGTTAGAATTGTTCCAGCACACATAATTGTAATTTTTGTCATGGGGGACACCGCACCCTTTTACACAAACCGAATAGAAGTCCATTCTCCAATACCAATCCGAGTGCTACAGTTCTGCCCTCTAGTCCGCAATCTATTCCTAATTCAGCTAACGGGACTTCTACCTCCACTGGTTCAAATCTGACACCAGTTAATCGCCAGGTGTATCACACTACCAACAATTCTAAAGTTCTTCTCAGCACCGTTATAGTTCATTTAATACATAAAGGCAAATCCTACCCTGTTCGAGCCCTTGTTGACCCTGCGTCCGAGGCAACTTTCATAAGTGAGCACCTCCAAAAAAGATTAAAATTGCCCTCCCGTTCCTCTCCTGCTAGAATATCTGGTGTAAATGCTTCATCTACCGCTACCTCCAGGGAAAATTGCATCATTAATATTAGCTCTGGGTTAGATTCCACAATTTTATTGAAAACCGAAGCATTTGTTTCCCCGAAGATCTCAGGTAATCTCCCTTCTTTCCCTGTCAAGTGTTTTTTCTAATATCCATCTAGCAGATCAAAGAATTTTCGATTCTCGTCCTGTGGATATATATATATATATATATATATATATATATATATATATATATATATATATATATATATATATATATATATATATATATATATATATATATATATATATATATATATATGTATATATATATATATATTATTATTATTTGTATCCCCAAATTGTGTTGCCAGGTGTCCAACAGAACATACTTGGTTCATTTTTGGCACAAAATACGGTCTTCGGATGAATTGTATCTGGTCCAATTCCTGGTTCAGCCCTGAAGGTCTTTACGACCACTGTACGGTCAGGTAAGGGAGCTAACTCCAATAAATCTATTCCCCAATTCCGTAGACTTGAGGTTCCCAAGCACCAATTGATTTCGTCGTCGTTACCAGCCACTATCGGTTCTTTATCTAGAACATCTTGATCACTAATACCCCCTCCCATTCAACTATGTTCTCCTTATTCACCAAATTATCATTCATCGTTAACGGGAACTTCCCGCTCTTGTCCACCATATTGTTCAATATCACCACGTAATTCTTCTCCTACGCTACGTTATAATAAACAATCAATTAGTTATTCTCCCTCGACCAGACATAAGTCTCTCTCGTCTTGTGTATCTATCCGCTCTTTGCCATCTCACAGTACACCTAGTTCAATATCTCTTCACAGAAGTTGAAATATTTACTTTCACATGTCAACTATTCATCTCCAAAATACTCCGCTACCTCCTGAAAGGTTCACCTCTGTTCCGAAAGCATCGATATATTCAGAGCCCTAACCAAATTACTGACGTTCGCCTCGAAGTACTACAAGATCACCACTAAATATGCTACATTCACCAAAAATTTCGCCAAAGCCTCACTGATTTCGTTCCATTTCTTCATCATTCACCAAAAAATATGCTTCTGTATTCACAACTTCCACTTTAACCGTAACTGTTTTCTTTTCGATAGGTTATTTAAGAATTTATTCGGGAACTACCACCTTCATCTCATAATTTGAATTTAGTCCAGAACACTTGTAAAATCTCGCTTAAAATTGAATTGTATTGAAACGTATTAAAAAGCTCACAACGACCTGAACTTACGATCCTGTCTATACTCTATTTTTGCTAAAAATTTAATTTTGAAATATCACTGATGTAAACTTGCTTTTGTTAATACGTTGAAATGTATCAAGGTGGGCGGCAATGTTTAAGTTGGCCTTCAACTTCCCGAGTCCAGTCAATGGCAATTGACACAACGGGCATCTCCTCGGCATACTTCCCTCGGCGGAGACCGTAGAGCGCAGATGCCACCGGGCGGTGGTTGTTGTTGGTTAGCTCACTTTGATACATACGAGACTCTGCTCTCATTGGAAATAATTGTAGATGTAGTAGTAGTAATCGACAATGATCCTCGGCGATCACTGCGATCCTCTGCGATTGCAAGAACCTCAGCGTTCACTTGTCGACCAGTAGTTCAAAAGTACACATAAAGGTCTCTGCGCCACCCCAAATTACACAAGGTAATTTTGTTTGTTTGCTCGAAAAGAATAACTCAATAAACCACAAAACTTATATGAACTTAAAACTAATTACTATTGTGTTTATTTCTATTTTCCTCCTTTCACCTCCTCACAAATTCCACGCTTAATCAGGGGCTATGACAGAACGTGGACCTAAATAGCCCATTTTACATACCAAAAGTCCTGCAACATAATTTACATTTCAGTAAAATGTTATTAACCTACTGCATTTCGTTCGAAAGCTAGAGGTATTTCCACTGACGTACGGACATCGCTAAATCGACATAGAATTTTATGCTGATCAAGAGTATATAAATGCTTTGTGGGGTCTAAAATGTATATGGTGGAGGGTATAAAAATAGAGAATGTAGCCGTTATATTAGGGTCTACACGACGACGTGGAACTGCATAGGCAACTTTCGCCATAAGCCATTACAATATTCAAATGCGATACTTGAAAAAAAATTCGGTGAATAATGTCACTAAAATCATCAAAATAACGAATATCGGGATGTACTTTTAGAAAATGAATTAGGATCAAGAAATGGTTTCCAAAGGATTTAAAGTTTTTTTCAGTACTAATCAAAATGAAAAAATTTGTTTTTCATTAGCCATACAAAAAACACCAAAACAACTATGATAATTACTATAATATAAATACAAAGTGTGTTTTGTACCAGGTTTATAATATTGTGGACAGTAGTATTTCCAGAACTCCTTCTTAAACCTAACACTAAACAACCTTATTAATTTATTTTCATAAGATCGATTTCTTATCTTTGATTTTTTGTATAATTTTTGGAAATTTTGACTACTTCGGTATATAAGTTTTTGCTGAGTAATTCCGGATAAGTACCTTAAAATATGTATAGCAGCATTCCTATGTTCTGTATGTCGATCCGTATTTCTCTGTGATAATTTTGCCACAGAAAGTAATATATCCGGTCGGGTTGTAAGTGCTAAATACATCAGTTTTCTCATAATTGACTGATTTGACAGCACATCTGCTTTCCACAACCATTTGCAAATCGAACTTGGGAACCAGAATCAAGTGGTAAAGATACTTCCTTAAACTGTTCCATGTTATGCTTTTTCAATAAGATGTTTATATATTGAGTGTTACTCACTGTTAAATCACCTGTTTCACCATTTCTGTTAACTTTCATTTCAAGAAAATACAGTATTGGGCCTTCGCCACTAACATCAAACTCAGTTTATATTTTAAATTTTATTATACCCTCCACCTTGGAAAGGAGGGTATATTAACTTTGTCATTCCGTTTGTAACATCCTTAAATATTCGTCGTAGACCCCATAAAGGCGAAACATTGCATGTGTAGGTCCACGATTTTGTACAGCCCCAATATAACGGTACCTGCCTATATTCGGTATTTTAATGGTATATGCCACATTTCTTCTAATGTATACTTTACCCTAAAATGGAGGGTATTAAAAGTTTGGCCCGGCCGAACTTAATGTTTTTTTTTTACTTTTTTTTTGGATAACAGCTTTAAAAAGAATGTCATCAATATATACTGCTAATAAAACAAGTTCGCCTTCTACTTTCATTTTGTACAAGCATGGTTCATCAAAGCTTGAGAATCCAATTTTATCACACATGAGTCTAACTTTGCATTCCACTCACGTCCGGTTTACTTAAGACCGTAGAAGCATTTTATCAACGAACATCTTTGGTTGCTGCATGTAGACTTCCTCGTTGAGATTACAATTCAAATAAGCACTAACAACATCAGTATGGTGTTAGCATAACGTATGACTGGTGAGAATGTTTCATGATAGTTCACACCATATTTCTGGCTGCAGCCCTTTGCCACATGCATTGCCTTGTATCGTTCTATATCACCATTTTTCGCAGTTTTTATGGCATGGCCATTTGCATCCAATCGCATCTTTACCAATTGGCAAATCACCAAGACCGGTTGGAGTTTTCTTCAAAGCATTGTATTCAATTTGCATGGCTTTTTTCCATTATCATTACCATTTATCATATTATATTGCCTCTTAGGTCTGCCAGGCTTACCATCGCGAATTATTTTAGGACGACCTCCTCCTCCTTTTGATTACCCTTGAAAAATATTTTTCGAATTCTCCCTGTATAAGTTCGATACGTTCCACCACAACTTTCCAATACTCGTCAATCATGGATGCTGATTGGCACACTGGCATCTCCTCTACAATCGCCTTGGCGGATACCGTAGTGAGCGGATCGCCGCTGGGTATTGGTTGTTGGCGGTAGGCTCACCTTGCTCTCATTGGAAGTAGTTGTAGTTGTAATAATATACAGACATGGGACCCTCAGCGGTCACTCAGAACCTCTGCGTTCACTTGTCTGTATTTGCATATGTATTAGAAATAGACAAGGGATCCTCTGCGATCACTTAGAACATCTGCGTTCACTTGTCTCCTAGAAACGAAAGCGAACACACACGGCCTCTGTCGCCACCCCAATTTGTCGCATTGAAAAGAAGCATAAATAAAGCATGAATTATATTAAGAAATAATACAAATTTATCTTTGTTTTATTTCTCGTTATTTTCTTCCTTTTACTTAAACCACACGCTCGAATCACCCTCATCTCTCACCTACACAACACCTCACATAATAACTCTGGGGAGCTTTGTTGTTGCCGCTATCGAAGCCTTACCCCCACTCCCCTGAGTTAAACATTGGTCGCATCGAGCCGGATTGAAGCCATCACTTGCTCTTGCTCCCTCGTTTGCATGAAGAAATCATCGGATTATCTCTCATCATATCATCAACATACATAAGACTAAAAATCAGGTACGTAAATTCAGATCTCTATTTGAAGTGAGCTACCCATTTTTGTTAGTGCGTATGTTAATTGTTTTTATTTGAAAAAAAAAAAAAAAAACATCGTATTGTGTCGAGCTTCAATCACCCTTCGCGTGTGTTATTGTAATTCGAATACAGTCCACTCTTGTTGCATTAAATTGCATTTGTTGTACTGATCAACCTACGTTGCGTTGATCATACATTTGCCTTTCGTTTGAAAACAAGTCAGTTGGTCGACTTATATTAACACTTCTTGTGTTAATCAAGTGCATTCCCCTACAACAAGTAGTTCTGTTGTTGTGAAAATAATTAGTTTTCTTTGTACTGATCATCCGTCGTCGCGTTGATCATACAAAAATATTTGGTGCTCTTGTTCCGCTTCGTTCATTTGTTTCGTTTTCTAACTCTAATTTCCAAAGTCGAAACATTTGTTAGTATTGGCACTCTCATTTAGCAAAAACAACATCCAATAATCTCTTTTTGCTTCGCTCACAATTCATTTTACATCGATCCAACAAGTGGATCTTTACAGAGGTGTTGATGTTGTTTTATTCCCCCTCGTTGTATCTCTACTCCCTCGCCATAGCTGAAGAAGAATTTGCATCACCACATTTGTTGTTACAGCACACATACATATTTTATCACATTCGGTTGTTTGGTTTATTTGTTTTTGCATTCCTCACCAACCAAACGGTGCTGTAATTCTAACTCCAACATTTCTTTTCCCCTCTAAAGGCTGAGCCCTGTAATGAGAATTTGTTTCTAATTTACAACAAGTAAAAAAGCTGTAAGTTCGGCCAGGCCGAACTTTGAATACCCTCCACCATTTGGTACGAATTTAACAATTTTCAAAAAAAATAAAAAAATAAAAGGATTTTAAAATTCTGTTAAAATCATGTAGCCGTATATTAGAGTCTATATTGCGACGTGGACCTGCATAGGCAACTTTTGTCACAAGGCAACTTATATCACAATATTCAAATGCGAAACTTGAAAAAAATCTGTTTACAATGTAGATAAAATCGTCAAAATCCTCGAATATAGGGAGGTACCAAGGTGGTTATAAAACGTGGATCTGCACAGAAAAATTTTTTTTCATAGGCTGTTATATCGAACTTCACGAACTTCAAATGCGAAATTTGAAACAACTCCGATAAAAAATGTCGCCAAAATCATCAAAATACCGAATATCGGGGTGTACCGTTATATGGGGCTATACGAAGACGTGGACCTGCACAGACAATTTTCTGTCATAGGCTGTAGTATTCATTACGAACTTCAAATGCGAAATTTGAAACAATTCCGGTAAATAGGTTCGCTAAAATCATGAAAATACCGAAGATCGGGGGTACCGTTATATGGGGGCTATACGAAGGCGTGGTTCTGCACAGACAATTTTCTGTGATAGGCTGTAGTATTCATTACGAACTTCAAATACCAAATTTGAAACCATTCCGGTAAATAATGTCGCTAAAATCATCAAAATACTGAATATTGGGGGGTACCGTTATATGGGGCTATACGAAGACGTAGACCTACATGGCTTATTTTCTGTCGTAGGATGTAGTATCCATTATGAACTTCAAATACCAAAATTGAAGCAATTCCGGTAAATAATGTGGCTAAAATGATCAAAATACCGAATATCGGGGGGTACCGTTACATGGGGGCCATACGAAGACGTGGACCTACATTGCCCATTTTCTGTTTTATGCTGTAGTATCTATTAGAAACTTTAAATACCAAATTTGAAACAATTCCGGTAAATAATGTAGCTAAAATCATCAAAATACCGAATATCGGGAGGTACAGTTATATGGGAGCTATCCGAAGACGTGGACCTATATGGCCCATTTTCAATACCAAGACATAGTACACATTTGAGTAAAATTTTATCAACCTACTTCATTTCGTTCGGAAGCTAGAGTGATTTCCACAGACGGACAGACGGACGGACATTGATAAATCGACATAGAATTTTATGCTGATCAAGAATATATATACTTTGTGGGGTCTAAAATGTATATTTCGAGGTGTTACAAACGGAATGACAAACTTAATATACCCTCCATACTATGGTGGAGGGTATAAAACATCGGTGCTCAAAACCGTGTTCTAGAACATGAAGAGAAAAAAGATATAATTTAAGAGAAAATTAAAATTCTGTTTTTCTTTATATTTTACGGTTCTATTTAATTGTTTTTAAACACGAACGTTTGCCAAAATAATTTATAAAGCAAATAGATAAAAAATATTTGTATAAATAATGACTTAACACTGTTTTGTTCTTGATTTAAATAAGCAAAGAGAAATTTGACTGAAAAGAGATATTTCTTCTTGAGCACCGCTGGTATAAAAACAACGCACATATAATAACAGTCCACATCTCTGTCGGTTGTTTATTTGTCGTCCTCTCCAACAACACTTGTTGCAATTCTCCTTCGTTTTCTTAACGTAGATCAATTCTCACTTGAGAATTTACATTGCCAAAAATTGCAACAACAATATCTCATCATTCCACGCGCCCTTTTTAGCGTCGGTTTGATATTCAGTAAAAATAACACTCACTGTTGGATCGTTTGTGGCGTCGCTTGTTGTGTGGGTGCGTAGCTGCTTTCGCATAGTCATTTCTCTGCCGACGTCGCTTGTGTTTTATTCCTCTTTGTGCGATATCCGTTGTTGGTTCGGCACAGTGGGGTAAAACAGTACAAATTGTGATTTTTTGCAATTTATTTTAGAAATTATTTTTTGTTAATTTTGTGATATAATTTTGACTAGTAGTAGGGTTTTTGGAATTTTTAGACAAATTCACCCTACCTTCGGCATTCTTTGCAGGCATATTTGGCTACATATATTGATGAAAATTAATCGATTTTCCTGGCTAGATTTGAAAAAATTGTAAATATTATTTCACATTTGGCTGAATAATTGCAACCTACTAGGATTTTTGGAATTTTTGGACAAATTCACCCTACATTAGGCATTATTTGCAGATATTTTCAAAACAAACATTAGTTGAAAATATTCGTTTTTGTGGCTATTTTCATTTGGTCAATTATTTAATTGTTGTTTGTAAAATTGGTGGCTCTTCGTGGGGTTTTGGTATTCTTGGAATAATACACCCTACTTTTGGCATACACTAAAAATTCTTGTTAAAAAAAAAATCTTTGTTTGTTAGCCTATTGGAGCAATGTTAGTTTTTTAAATTTCGTTTTTGTCACAGAGGAAAAGTTTTTCTTAAACTTTCTCCTATTTAACTCTGTTGTAACATTTACAACTATTTGAAGTATTTGGAGGTTTTTATTTGTGGAAATTTCTTATTTCCTTTGGACGGTAGAAACCTTTGTTCGAATTTTCTTTTCTTTGCATATCAAGTATTTGTTATAAATTTAGAAATAAAATGTCGATCACTCCGCTCACACGTTTTTCTAGAGCCGCTGACATTGTTTTGAGGAGTGTAGAATATTTTGAACGAATTGATGCCACACAGTTCACTACTTACAGCCTCGAAATTCGTCTTTCTGAAATTCGAGATTTATGGGCAAAGGTTCAGAACACTTATACTGAGTGTAAAAACTACCTCACGGCATCCGAGACTGCACAGGTTGGAACTATTGATGTCGTTGAGGATAAATACAATAATTCATTTATTGCTTACCATTGGTGTTTGACCACAATAAACAAGAACCTTGATCGCCTCAAATCTCCGAACAATGATCATTGTTCTTCTGCTGTGGCTTCTCATTCCTCACCTGCTTCCAGTTCTAGTGTGCAAAACAGATCCTTTCCTGATATGTCTATTAGAAGACCCCCTACTGAGCTAATTTTGAGCAGTCTCATCGAACCGGCTTCTGTACAGTCTGCTTCTCCAACCGTCAATACTTGCTCCAAATCTTCTGCCACCAATACTTGCTCCAGTCCTCCTTTCGAGTACAATAATTTCGCTTTACCTCCACTTGACATAGAAGTCTTTGCTGGAGATTTTGTGTCTTGGCCCACCTTTCGTGACCTGTTTACCACACTATTTATAAATAATGTTCGGCTCTCAAATATAGAACGTCTTTGTCATCTTAGGCAGAAGACTATCGGTGAGGCTCAAGAAATCGTGGACAACTTACCCTAACCAATAGTAGTTTCCATTTAGCGTGGAAAGCATTGTCGGATACCTACGACAATAAGCGTATCCTAGTAAATAGTCACATTAGACGTTTATTCGAAATTCCCTCTTTTAAAAAAGAAACTAGTCATTCTTTGAAAACAATTCAACGTGGAGTAAATAGTTGTCTTGCTGCAATGGCCGTCTATGGCGTCGCCACGGATCAGTGGGATCCAATTCTTGTACATATCTGTTTGCAGCGCTTGCCTTTAACCACCTTGACTTTGTGGGAGCAAAGTATCAAAAATAAGTCGTTGTTGCCTTCCTGGCCAGACTTATGCTTTCCTCACAAACAGAATACAAACTTTGCAGTGTATTCAGAGTATACATAAAAATCAGTCCACCCAAAAGTACTTGCCCAAAATAGTTTTGTCTCCTAAGTCCTTATTGTCGCCAAAGAATGGTACTCCTTCCAGCCCTGCAAAGAAATCGTTAACATCACAGCATGTTTCACCTCATTACTCCTCCACTAGATCGTTGGCATCTAAGCATGTTCGTACATCTAGTTCCATTAGTAAGTCGTTGGTACATGAACCAAAATGTGTTGATCCTTCTCCTCGGCCAAACACTTATTGCCCCATTTGTCCTAACCAGAGACATGTGCTGCACCTCTGCCCCAAGTTTATTAAACTATCATTTGAGGACAAATTCTCGATTCTTAAGAAGAATAAGTGTTGCATAAATTGTCTTTCTCGTGGCCATGTAGTTAAACATTGTCGAAGTATCAATAGTTGCAAATCTTGCAATCAACGGCACCACAGCCTTCTTCACCGGCCACAAAGTAGTAGAGTTGTTGCAGCATCATGCTCAAAACCATCTTTGTTTTCTAATA